AAGCTATTCATGTTTTCAGGTTATATAGTTATATATAGCTGGAAGCGACTTGAAGCGGCTCCGGACTTTTTATTAAATAGCCCTTGGGTGTCACAAACAGTTTTATGAATCGCTTCTGGGATTTTATAAATAGCTTCTGGGATTTATAAATAGTTTCTGGGATTCATGAATAGCATCTGGGATTTGATAAATCGCTTCTGGCCTCCAAATGCTCAAAACAGAAACCAGCCTTTAAAGACGCTGCTATACTCTGTAAACTTTTCGTATCAACGGAGCATACTGGAGGCCTTCTGAAGGAGTGGGATCTGTCGTGTTCGAAGGCTGAACAGGGGGTCTGAGTTCGACAAGATGATGCGGGCGATTGCTCTCAGCCTGGAGCCTTTTGGTAGGAACCCCGTCGAGCCCTTCTTCGGCATGATGTATGCTCAGAATAGTTCCTAGCCTTGCCCAGCCTAGTGGCTCAGAGCTACAATGGTCCGACGGGTGGGTGGTCTTGGCCTCGAACTGAGCGCGACTTATGTCTGAACGGAAGCTGCCTTTTGCAGCTTCTCTTTTCACTTCCCAAATCTCCCTCCCATGGCCCCCAAGGCAATGCAGCCTGACTACCAGGCCAGCGGTCTCATCCACAGTTCCAGTGATTGCATCCATCGTCGCTGCCATGGCGCGTCTGGCCTTCCAACCAGGTGCAAAAGGCTCAAGTGATTGCAAAATGCCCGTGGCACATCGTGGCACCACTAGCATCAGCCTTTTGGAGCCCTGTGTAGTGGCCAACAATGTCAGTAATGTTTAGCCTATGTAGCAGGTAGCATCATTTGTACTATGTTTGCCGGGTCGTTACATTGTTGATAACCATGGTCATGTTGCTATCACGAAACAGCCAGAAGTGACCGACATCTCCCGGAAGGTGCCTTCCGTCCATTAGCTGTATAGTTTCTGGTCGGTTCAGACCAATTGCCTTGGCTGTTCAGGTTGAGGCTCCAAGCTGAAGGCCGCACTACGCTGAAGAAGAACACTTTCAAACATCTGTGTAATCACCAATGGGCCAGAAGCAAGTAAAGCTGATGTCACTGAGCTGAAGACTCCAGCACATGGACACCTACAAGCCCGATGTGGACCTAAAACTGCTTCAACAGTCATAATGGGCCGCCGCGTTGCCTAGCGTCACTTCGTTGCCAAGGGCCTCGAACTGCTCAGTGCGCCTTACAGATTGTGACACAAAACGCAACGTGGAAACCAACGGAGGAATCAAACATGTAGACGCTGTTGGGAGAACACCAGAATGCATTCCAAAGGTCCTCATTAAAGCTTTGCCCAACTCAGCGGGTGCCGGCCATGCGTTCCCTTCCACAGCTAATTTGACACTCAACCTTGCCCTGGGTTTGTCAGGTCTCCCTCAGCAAAGCCCCCGACAGTGATTTGCGCACGAGCTGCACTTAGCAGCTAAGCCTTCATTTGCTGGGCCATTCAGCTGAGGAGCGTCGGAGGCGTACTCTCTGCTGCGGTGCGAAGGATAAGCCAACTATGCAGCAAGCATGTGATGCCATCACGCCGGCTGGGCCAAGGCATCGCACAACGTTGACTCTATCAAAGGTCTGCGTCAGGCTTCTGGATACAAAGTGGGTTGCTACCACGACCGCGTGGCTTGTTTCTGTTGTTTGGGAGGGGGGGGCATGAGAACACACGGCACTTTCTTGCGATGAGGATTGCCGGCGGCCGTCCGATGAACAGATCTGCCCTCGGGACGAAAACCTCGTCATTATAGACTTGCAGATTACTATGAAAGCTTGAACCAGGGCGGCTTGTCACTTTGCGGCACAAATGCTGGAAAGACTGGCAAGCACTGCACTGCCTTCGAGGAGCGCGGCAGAGTGGGCGGGGCCTGCCCAAAAGTCTTGTAATTTAGAGAATTCTGCCTGACATCC